TGTTGGAGAAGGATGGAGAAGATTAGTTGGACCGATTATGTGAGAAATGTAGAAGTGTTAATTAGAGTCAGTGAGCAGAGGAATATCCTACACGAAATAAGAAAACGGAAGGCTAATTAGATTGGTCATATCTTACGCGGTAACGGCCTTCTAAAAGAAGTTATTGAAGGAAAGATAGAGGGGTGGATAGAAGTGACAAGAAGACGAGGAAGAAGATGCAAGAAGATGCTGGGTGACCTTGGGGACAGAAGAGGATATTTTCATTTGAAGGAGAAAGCTCTAGATCGCATCAAGTGGAGGAACTGTTTTGGAAGAGACTGTGGACCTGTCGTCTTGACAGATTACAGATGAATGAATGAATGAATGTATGTGACTTGAGTCTCAAAGTTGTTTGCATGTTTAAGGCTGAATTTCATACAGTAAGTTTTATACACATTTAGCAAAAGTAAATTTGCCTTAAACCACTTCACCACACTATTAAAGACTGATTTCAAGTTACTGTCCAGTACTGTATTGTTTTGATTACTGACAATTACACTAGTATCGTCAGCAAATAAAATTGTTTGGGGATTTGCATTGGCGTTCATATATTTAATAAATATGGGTAGGTCATTAATGTATAGTAAAAACAGTAAAGGTCCCAGAATGGACCCCTGAAGGACGCCCTGTTTGACCAGACCCCCAGTCAGATTTACTTTTATCATTAGGTCCATTTCTAACTTTCACCTTCTGATACCGATATTGGAGATACGATTTTATTAACATATATACATTATCAGTTATACCATAAAACTCAAGTTTATATAGAAGCACTTCATGGTTTACACAATCGAAAGCTTTCTCCAAATCAAAAAAAATTCCACCTACTTTATTTTTATTATTGATGGCTGTTAATATATTATTTAATAGAGTATATGAAGCAGTTTCGGTGGAAAGGTTAGGACGAAATCCAAATTGTTCACTAGCCAAGATATCATTAGCACAGATATGTGTTAATAATCTTTTAAAGATAATTTTTTCAAACACCTTGGAAAATGATGTCAACAAGGAGATTGTTCTATAATTAGAACAATCTTCTCTATTTCCCTTCTTATATAGAGGGCTAACAATCGAATATTTCATGCGTAAGGGAAATTTACCAGCTTACACTGCCTTATTTAATATACAACATAACGGGGAAGAAATGTATGGGGCACTTATTTTTAGTATCTTCAATGAAATCTCATCATATCCATAAGAGATTTTGGAAGGTAAGAAAGAGGTAACTTTTTCAATTTCCTTCGTTGTTATGTTATTGAAGATGATTTTAGGAAAAGGGCCCTTAGCAGTCAGGTTCAAATTATATTTGTATTTGTTATTCGAATCAGTATCAGAGGTAAATTGGCTAGAAATTTTTTGAGTAATATTATTAGCAACGTTTAAAAATAATTATTAAAATTACTTGAATTGATTTGGACTGTACTGCAGATTTTACCCTTTGACAATCTTTACCCAGTTCTGCCCTTATAATGTTCCAAATGGTTTTGACAACATTATTAGAGTTGGTAATTTTGTCCTCATTGTTAAGTCTTTTAGCCTCATTTATTACCTTAGTTAAAATCTTGCAGTATGATTTACGAGTACAGTACTGCTTTAGATTTTTATTGTCATGAAATTTTGCCAAAAGATATAATTCTCTTTTCCTTCTGCAGGAAGTTCTTATTCCAGTGGTTAACCATTGTTTGGAGGAAAAATGTTCGTAAATTTTCTTCTTGGGAAAACAAGCATTAAAAATCTGCAGATATACATCTACAAAATTATTAAACATACTATCTATATTATTGTCCTCAGCATTAAAAACGGTTTCCCAAGTTTCAAAACTTAAACTTAGTTTACGTAAGTTGTTAGGGAACAGTTGTTAAATTTCCGGATAATTTTGAAATTAAGGTTTGTCCTTTCCTTACTGATCTCTTTTTGATGTACAAACAATAGTTGCCCGTCATGGTCAGATAGACCATTAAATACTGGATAGATCAAATAGTTTTCAGACTTAGTTATATCTATAAAGATATTATCAATCAATGTTTGAGTTGTGGTGCAAGTCCTGGTTGGAAAGTAAACCACGCTACTTAAGTTAAATTACTGCAGTATGTAATTTAATTGTTGCTTCATTTTATTATCTTCTAGATAATTTATATTAAAGTCACCACAGACTATGATTAATAAATTCAGTTTATAAATTTTGTTGATGACAGCTTCTAACTGGGTAATGAATAATGAAAAATTACTAGATGGGGAGCTATACAATGTACTAGATAAAAATTTACATTTAACAGCGCACACCTCCATGGCTTTGTGTATACATAGTTCATTAATGCTGACAGGTTTGTAATCCAGAGAGTTGTGTAAATATATACATACACCTCCCTTAATAAAGTTCTTTCTACAATAACTAGTTCCTAAGTTGTAATTGGCTATGGTCACATTTTAAATTTGTGGATAATTTAGATGATGTCCTGTGAAACAAAGCACTTGCGGAAGTTCAGGATATAGATGGGCATAAATTTCACTAGTCTTATTTGCAAGGCCACACCTTCATCATAATGCTCGACAGCTTCATTTCTTGAAGGTTTTGGCCTGCTCACCTACTTCTGTCCTTTGTGTGAGTTATCCAGTTATAAATTCCTAAAACCTCTAGATCTTCCCTTACATCATCTTTCCATCTAATTTTAGGTCGGCCTCTCTTTCCTGTGGTGTGTGGCTGCCAGTTATATATTCTTCTAACTGTTCGTCCAGTGTCCACCTTGATATGGGCTTTGATGAAGTTAACTGTGTTCCTTCCTTTTATTAGATTATCTAGTTCATCATTTGTTTTCATTACTCAGGAGCCATCATGGTTTCTTGATGGCCCGAAGACCTTTCTTAGAATTTTCCTTTCAAAGACTAAAAGTGTTAAAGTGCAGCATATGCTTTATTTCCAATTGCTAAACTCTCTTTAATCTCTTGTTTGATTGTGTTATCTGAATTAACTATATACCTCAAATATTTATAATGAGAAATCTGTTCTATGTTTACATCACTGCATCTGAGATCTTGGATTATTTGAGGTTTGTTAGAACAGTGTGAGAATTTAGTTTTCTGTTCGTTGACTAACAGCCCATACTTTTGTGAGGCTTTTTTTAGCTCTTCAAAGGTTTTAATCAGATCTTCAGCATTAGTGTGAAGAAAAGAATATAAATGGACATGTATATATTCAGGGTTGGCCAAGGGGACACGTTAGGTAGACGTTGATATACTCGTGGTTGATCCTGAAAGGGTTAAGAAGTTCCATAAATTATTCTGCGAAGAGATTATTTTCTACCAGAATATTTTTATCTAATTATTTTCATTCAGTTTTAATTTGTACTGACATTCAATTGTAACATAATGAATTTGATCACAGACCATTCTGTCATTGTTAATTCATAACAAATAATCCCTTTTGGCACTCAGAATATGATGTTTTTACAGTATTTCAGTTTTTCTATAGTTGCAATTTTATTAAGGCCATATATGCTTTAATAGTGTGCAGAAATTATCATATTGCTTAAATATATTAGTAATGGAAAGTATGTTGTTACTATAATAATGTTTTGCTTATAGCTGCACCAAGTCATTCTGGAAAATATGCAGTGAAAGCTGAAAATGCAGGAGGTGAAGCACAGTGTATCGCTGACTTCATTGTACTGGAGCCAGAACCACAGGAAGGGATGCAGACTGAACAGGATTTGCAAATGAGGACACATGTTATATTTAAGGATATAAAGGAAGAAAGAATACAGGTAAAACCAATCAAAGTTTTTTTGCTTTTTTTTTATGATTACTTAATAACAAAACAACAGTACATATACCGTTATGATGTATAATTTAAAGGGATGTGCTTCATTTAAATTAAAGACTTCCTGCATATTTTATTCCAGAAAATTATAATAAAATAATGTCTTGGGGTGATTTAATAGCAGTATTGTTGAAGTGAATATGGGTTATAATTAGTTTCCTTAATGTTGGAAAGCCACAAGTCTTAAAAATATATGAAGTTCAATTAAAAATTAAATTCAGTAACTTAGCAGCAACAGTCACAAAACTGGCAACTGATAAGAATCTGCCTGCTTCCTCAGTTTTGCTGTAGAGTACACACATTTCCAATACTAAGTACAAATTAGCCAGTTTCCTAATAAAATGTGGATAACAGTGTCACAATGAGGTTGCTTGATGTAGAGTTACATATTTCATAAACGGAAATATCCCAAAGTTCATTTGCACATTTTTGTTTATGGTGCTGCCTCTAGCAACAAGTAATAATATGAAACCTCTGTTGGGGCATTAGATCAAGCTGATTTCCTTTCTGGGGATAAAAAGTTAACTCACTCTAATGGTCCCAACATAGGAGCAAGGCCAGTTTTAACCAAAACTGAGGTGATGGAAAATGTCCATTTGGAAGGTAACAGTATCTTCATAGTGTAGTCTGATTCACAGCAGATATTTTTAATGAAATGTAATGTGCTACAGTTTTGATCATGGATTTACATGAAGACCTACATCATGACTTTGACAAGCATGTGGTAGTCATCTTGTTTTATACTTATTAGACTGCACTCAGAATATCTGAGGGATATTGCTTATAAGCCAGTATATTTTATATTCCTTTCATGGTTGAGGAAGATATATTGCATTATTGAATGTCTGACCACAGTAGAGCCGGGTACAATTTGTTCGTTACACACTTTATGTATGTGTCTGTTTCCCATATGAGGTATTTGTTGTCATCACTGTACGTGAATGGGAAGAGTAAAAATCAGAATAGACCGAAAAGGGCTGTTCGTCAGAATCATTAATTTCATTTGCATTGACTATGCCTCTGTTAGTCTCCATATGGTTAATAATACTGCATTTTAGATGAATATATACTGATTACACCAATTTTACATTATTAACTCAGGGATTGAAGCCTTAAAGAGTAATGTAACACCCTACATAATACCAATAAGTTATTTAGGCTAAAGGTGTGCATTTTCCAAGTGAAGACAGATTGTTAATTCATTGATCATTCATCCATTTGAAGAAATATGCAGCAGATGGAAGTAAAAACCGTTAGTATTGTACACTGATTAATGCAGGATCCAGCAAAAAAATATCAGATATTTGAATTTAGCACCAACCTGTAATGGTGGGAGTGGGAATTCTGCAATTCATGCGAGACTGTAGCACAGTCCAAAGCAATAGTCATCTTGCATTGTTGGTTGTTGTAAAAAATTAGAATAATGTCGAAGATTACGTCCTGTATGAAATATTTGTCAAAACTGTTCCAACAAAATAAAAATTATTTGAAAATAATTAAAAAAAATGAAGTGTTGGTTATTTTCATGAAAGTTCAAGAATATTAAAAAAATTAAAAATGTTTCAGAATCCCAAAATTCTGTAAAATTTGGATTTTTTATTTGAAATCACTTTATATTTCGAATTTTCAAACATTTTCAAAGTCTCAAAATCCTCGCAAATTTTCAATTTTTAAAATTGAATTTCTTTACGCAGTCAAGAATTTGACCGCTGCAAGATCTACCATTTTTTATTTTCTAAAATTTTCAGAAATCTTCGGTTTTTATAAATATCGAGTTCTTTACGAATTTTAAAATGTTGTACTTTTTCGAAATAGTTTCTAAGAATTTTTATTTCTTTAATTTTTTCAAAATTCAGATTTTTTTTATTTTGAAAGCATATTTGATTATTTCGAAATTTTAAACCTTGTCTAATATTCAGTGTAATCTTTGACATTATTCTAACTCTTCTTATTAACCAGTGTTCCATAATCACTAATGCTTTAAACCGTTTTACAGTCTTGGCTCAAATTCCCACTGTCACCATTAGAAAGTGATGCTAAATTCAAACTGTCTGATACTTTCTGCTGGACTTTATATATTGTGTGGGAACATCCCACATTATCACGCATTTTCTGCAACGCACACTCTTCACATCACTTTTCACCATCACGTGCACTAACCAATCAAATTGCTCCAAACGTTCACATTTATACTGCACTCGCTGCTAGCCCCGAATCTACATCATCATGCACGCTGGCCATTCGGCACCCTGCAAATTCTTCCTCCTCAATTTCAAGTTTCGCTCCGCCCACCGAGCAGTGTAAAAAAAGGAGCAGCCGCAAACCGGCAGCATCAGTCTGACTTCAGTCTTCGATCAAGCCACACTCAAGCAACATCAGCCAGCAGGCTTCATTGCCAGCGCTTGGTCTTTGGAAGCATCGGCAGGCTGCGCCAGGCACGACTGCCTTGGCCCTCCAGCTCTCACACCCGACGCACTGGGGCACCTCGCCTGGACTCACCGGTGGTCGTGACCCTGTCCGACCCACTGGGCATCTGGCATAGCCACTGCCTCATCACTCCTGCGACTGCGCTGCGTGACCACGCAACTTCAACTCACCTGCCACACGGCGATCAAGCAACCTCCAGCAACAGCCGTGCTGTGGCCAGTCAAATCACCGCAACTAACCTCTCTCCCTACCGGCGCATGCCGCGCTACCTTACCGGTCAAACATCTCAGCAACCATGGTCCTTTTCAGGACCAACAGACTGTTCCGAAGAAGTGGGTTGTCATCGGAGTAATGACAAAAGTACTCAAAACCCCACAATTGCTTTCTGCCATGGTAAAGGTTAATGTATCAATAACATGAACACATGAAGCTGGCCCCAGAACTCAGCATTTCTCAAATGGTGTGCCATGGCACATTGGTGTGCTGCCTCGAGGATCTTAGTTTACCAGGATAATTTGAGTCTGAATAGAAAAATATTTCACAGAATGTGGAATAAGAAGCAGTGGTATTATATGCAATATTTTTCTGTTATGTTCTCTGCCTGTACTGCTGTTTCTTTAGCAGCTATGAATATTGAGATATTACTGTTATTGGTGTAACTAAGATAACTAAGATTAGATTATATTTAATGCATCAACAGATCTTTCTCTCTGTTTCTTAAATAATATTGTCATGTATATGAGTGGCTATAAATGGGGTTTAGATTGGTGACTCAGTTTATTGACCACTTATACACTCACTTATACAATCACTGACACACACACACACACACACACACACACACAGACTAGTGTCCTCAGTTGATTGCATTCTCCACAAGACATTTCCTGAATATGAGTTTTAACACTTTGCGGACCGTGCACCCTTTAAAAGGTTTTTCACTATTAAATATGGCGGACCGTTCGCGTGTTAACAGGTTTTTAAAACACGATAAGTTGCAACACACTATACATCTCTCTGGCTCCACCTAGCTAGCACGTAGCTGCTTGCAGCTGCGTTATAGGGCTCTGGAATGTCTGCTGACCAATCAGTTACTAGACCTCACTGTAACTCTATGCCCCTGCAAAGGAAAATAAATGCCTTTATTTCTTCAAGCTGTTAGTCAGTATGGATCAAAGACCAAAGCGGTTGCCACCCAAGCGATTTCTTGGAGAACAAGAAGTATCTGACTTCTTCTCTGATTAACTATCTGACGTCCCTTGTGAGTCTGCTAGTGATAGCGACTCACAACCTGATAGTGAGTGTGGCAGGGGCGAACAAAAAATTGTGACCACAGACAGTGAAAGTGAAAGTGACCGTAGCTCTGATGAATGTGCGGGTAGCAACATTGCGGGGACAGCCACATGGGGAAAAGTAGACAACGCCTGCTTTGGGACAGTTTACTGGAAATCCAGGGGCAAAGCAAATTCCATCGGACCCAACACAAGTGTCTGAAGTAGTGGAACTGTTTTTTGGAGATAGTTTCTTTGACATGCTCTGTCAGGAAACTAACAGATACTATCTCCAACACCGTGAACATTATGACAGAAGTTATAAGGCGTTGAAGTGGGTGGATGTAAGTTCAGCAGAAGTGAGAAAATTTTTTGCAGTTGTCTTTCTAATGGGCCATACAAGGAGGGATAATCTGAAAGGTATTGGTCAACAGATCCATTTTTAGAAATTCCAATTTTTGGCAAACTAATGAGCCATAAGAGATTTGAGCAAATTTGGTGGTGTTTGCACTTCAATGATAGTGAACTGCAACCACAATCAACAAGCAGGCTTTTCAAAAATTCAGCCCTTATTAAACTTTTTCGTTCAAAAATTTCAGACAGTTTATAAGCCAAACCAACAACTGTCTTTGGATGAATCTGTGATTCCTTGGAAAGGAAGACTTCATATGCGAACATATAATCCTGGGAAACTTACAAAGTATGGCCTACTTTGTAAGTTTTGAGGTTTTCACGGCGCCAAATCCCAGAAGACGACTTTCTTTATGGCCTACTTGTTCGTGTAGTTACTGAAAGCACTTCAGGCTATATTGGAAATTTAGAAATTTATTCTGGTGAAGGAAAGAAATTACAAGAAACTATTCTTTCCATTTTAGAACCCTAGCTTGATCAAAATTACCATGTCTATGAAGACAATTATTACAACAGTGTGGCAACTGCAGAACACCTATTTTCAAGAAAAGTCTGTGTTTGTGGAACAATTAGGGTGAACAGAGGCCTTCCTCCAGATCTGAAAGAGGAATGTAAATCCCTGAAACGTGGTGAAACCACATTCAGGAGAAAGGGGAATATTCTTCTTCAGTCCTGGAGGGATACTCATGTTGCGAATATGATTTCCACAATTCACAATTCGAGCATGGTTGATGTTCAAAGGAGACATGGACAGGTAAAGAAGCCTGTTTGTATTTCTGAGTATAATATGTTCATGAAGGGAGTTGATAGAGCCAATCAGTACTTGGCCTATTATTCTCTTCCTTGGAAAACAGTAAAGTGGACAAAGAAAGTTGCCTTGTGGCTTATAAATTGTGCCATTTTCAAGTCATTTTTGGTTTTCAAAAATCTAAACCCTCATTCAAAATTGAAATACAAGGCATTTCTGCCGAATGTGGTAAAAGCCTGGGCTACAGACCACACGGTGGCGGCTGAACCGGCGGCAGACATAGTTTTAGTACGACCGCGGCCATCTACTCCCACCCCACGCAGGCCTCATTTTGACTCCCCTGGGCGACTCTCGGGTGATATGCGGAAACATACCCTCGTGAAAATTGTGAAGAATGAATATTTGAAGGGGAAGCAGCCTTCTAGGCAATGCCGTGTTTGCGCAATTCACAAGAAAAGGAGTAGGACTGCCTACATTTGCAAGTTTTGTGTAATGCAACTTCACAGAGGGTAATGTTTCGAGAAATATCACACCCTCAAGCACTTCTAGAAGTGTTCTCAAAATTTTTTTTTCATAAAATTAATTAGGAGATTCTATATTAATTTTTAAAGTTAACAGTGCACAAGTTAGGGTAGTAGGTATAAAAATGCCGGTCCGCAGGGTGATTTAAATATTTAAATTGCTGGCCCGCAAAGTGTTAACACAGGAACTACATTATAACAGTCTTACTGAATTAACACTTCAGATATCACACGTAAAGTTTTCTCTTCACAACCGGACTTTTAACTGAGCACTCTTGCAACTAACTCAGCGGCCATTTCACACCAGCCTCCTGGTCTTCTCTTTGCCACCTGACTATCAGCCAACTAAGTTCTAAACCTTGCCTCATTTATAACCTCTTGGCACAGACCATGTAGAAAACACAGCTCTTCCGCTGTTGTAGTCCAACTGTTGCATTATTAAAAATCTGCTGCCTAGCAACGGGCATTGTTCTGTTCTTTGCTTCGTGGCCATCGCCAGGAAATGGCTCTACATGCTACAATATATTTTGGCGCTATAATTTGACAAGGTCATTATTATACGATTCAGAATAGCTAGTTTTAAATCTTGATATTTTGTCTGTCACTGCAGTCATTTATTGTTCCTAATCTGTTATTAGTCTGTTAAATTTCACTAGAAAAATACATATTCCAAAAAGAAAAGTATGTATAAACGAAAAATGTGAAGGTATGTAAAAGTAATATGACCCTAGTTCATGTATCTATACATACATATACATACACACAGCCTTAGAATAACGCATGTGTTTGTGTGGCACAACATATCAGTGCAGTGTTTTTATTTCTTTCCCTTCCTAGGAAGAGAGATGCAAGCATTCAGATATAACAGGAGGCCAGGAGGCTTTTTGCAGTCTTTTGACGAAAGATAAAAACTCAAAATACATATTAAGAACAACATATACAATGTATAATTCTTAAATAGTCAACATAAACATCATTATAATAAAGAAATTAGCACACTTTTATATAGGTTTCATAATTGGTTTTATTTTTTATTTTTATGTTTTGTGAAGGCATTAGCATGATGTACTTGATTGTGTAGAGGCAGCAAAACAAGTTCTGTTTTGCACTATACTCTGGTGTGCCATCGAAGTAATAAGGGTTAAGAAACACTGTCAAAATTCAGCTCGGTTTCTAATTTGGAAGTCCATTATTGGAAAACTGGGTTTATTGTCACTTTATTTTGTCTCATTCTGTTCTAAAATTATATAAATTGTTTAATACTTCAATATGGAATGGACTGTGTGCAGCAGAGTGACCTTCGCCACCAGACCACATCTTCGAAAGTTACAACAGAGCTGGTTCAGCCAGAGATCACAAAACCGAGCACTGCTGAGACAGGCACATCTCCCATCCCATTATCTCCACATAGAACCTCTCCTTCAATTGGAAAACCCATCACTACTGAGTCTACAACTGTAACAGAGAGTATGAAGACAGAAAAACTCTTTTCAATCAAGATGGAACGTACTCCATCACCTGCATTTCAGAAATTCACAGAGGAAACCCATACCACAAAAGAAGTTCAGATACCTGTCCATGTTGTAAAGAAGCCAGAGTCAACTGCCACCATTATAGAATCAGAAAAGAAAGAAATTCAGATTCCAGTAGAAATTGAAAAGAAGCCAGAGTCAGTTCCCCCAGTTTCAGAAACAAAAGAAATTGCTACACTGATTGAGGAGGTACACAAGTCTGAGAAAGAAGAGCTTGTCAGAATAAAAGATACAAAAATAACAGAAGAACAGTTTCTAGAACAAGAAATTCCACATACACTTAGAAAGGAACAGGAAATTGAAAATGTTCTTGAAGAGACAGGAGTTGAAAGTGGGTCTATTAGCAAGAAAAGTGCTTTAGATTTCTTTGTGTCAAAATTAAGTGAAAAGGAAAGTGAAGTATCAAAGGAGAAAGTTAAGGAACCAGAAGTAATACCATTGAAAACATCAGTAAAGCAAAATATTTCACAATTTGAAGAACTGCACGTTAAAGAATCTGATCAGCAGTATCTGCCAAAGGATAGCGGCTCTCATCCTGTACCTGTTGTTCATGAGAAGACTGACACTGAAGAGAATAAAACTAAACATTTTTCACCAAATTTTGATGATTTGCCCAGAGAATCATCAGCTGTATTTTCAAAGACAGAAAAGGAGCACTCATCTTTCATTCAAAGTGAAAACCATAAAGTATCGCCTCATATTCCACAGCCAATGAAGTTTAATACATTTCCACTTCAGTCTTCAACATCATCTCAGCATCGCACTGAACATTCAAGTTTTGAGAAGCATGTGATACAGCATCATTCAAGTTTCTCATTAGATGGATTTAACCTTCACCCTGAGCCACCACCAGAGATTGGTTACATACCTAAAACAGAAGTTCCAGCTAAAATTCGTTTGGATATGTCAAGTCGAGTGAAGAAACTGGAAGAATCTCACAGAGTTTTGTCACCAGTCGAAATCCCATCGGGCGCAGTGAGAATTTTTCCAGCACCAGTTAGGTCAGAAGCACCTGCAGCAGAAAAATGTGAGCCTCTGCCAAAGCCCGAGATACAATCTAGACCATTCAGAGAGACACAAGAAACAGTTTCAATGCCAGGGGAAGAAAAAGAAATTGAAGAAATGCTAGTCAAGAAGAAAATTGTCGAAGAAATATCTGTTCAGAAGAAAGTCCACCTGCCAGGATCCAGAGATTGGACTTACAAACAGCCCACATCTGCAGTGGAGCCAGTATTGGAAGAACAGGCACCATTCATCCCCAAACCTTGGTCTCCACATCCAGTTCCTGAACCAATTTTACAATCACAAACATCTGCAGAGATACCAAGTCATGCTCAAGATTCTCCACACTTACCAGTGGCAGTGATCCGGCCACCATGGCGTACAGAGACAACTCAGACACAGGTGCCAATGTCAAAAACAGAACAGCAAACACTGGAGACTGTAAGGCCTGTGTCGCCAAGACCATCAGCAGAGGCTTTGTCAATGGAGAGACTTTGGGCTTCTCGTCGAACACCAGAACCAGAGGTTGTTGGCTTGCCAGTTTTACCTATAAAAGGAGTTGAAATGCCTAAACCTCTTCTCCCTGAATCAACAGAAAAATTTGTATCTTCTTCCATCACAAAATCCTCAGTGCAAGAAACAGATATAAGACGGGCTGTATCTCCAAGACCTTCAGCAGAAGGTATTGCTATGGAGAAATTGTGGACTCCTCATAAAACAGCTGAGCCTGAGCCTGTAATTGCTAGACCTGTATCAACAGGACAGCAGCAATTTGAAAAGGCCATGTCTCCTAAACCTTCAATGGAAGGACTTGCAATGGATAAAATATGGGCACATAAACATCCAGATTCTGCTCTGAGGAAAGCATGGCCTCCTCCACAACCAGAAGAGGAAAAGCCGGTTATACCCTGGGCAGTGACAGGAAACATTGAAAAGACATGGCCTCCAGCAGATCCAGTACCAGATGTGAATCAGGAAGTTGATTCAAAATCTCACAAAGAAATCAAAGTGCAACAAGAAGAAACAAAGAAGGTTCAGTTAAGGCCACAAACACCCAAGGTTCAACAGTCAGTAAAGGAGGTAGAGATTTCAAAAGTGACAACAGAAAATTACAAAAAAGAAACAGAAGAAAGCAAGAGCAGTATCTTACATGTACAGCCAACACCTACATCTGCTGCACCAGTTGTTCAGCATTATATTGCAGAGGCCCGAGTGGTTCACTCATCAGCAGTGGTGGAGAGTGAAGTTCAGTCTACAACCACAACCTCTGAACATTTGGAAATAAAATCAGAACATATGGAAAATACAAAAACAATCAGTTCCATACTTCCAATACCGGTACCTAAAGAACCATCTCCTCCTGTTGTGGAGGAGAAGATGTTACGGCCATCAGAAGCAAAGAGAGTATGGCCACCAGGTCCTAAAGATGAATATGAATTGAAAGCACCTCCTGTGCTAAAAGATGTCCTACCCAGGAAAGAAACATTGCCTAAACCAAAACCAGTGGAGGAAATGATTATTGAGCCTTTCCTAGAGCCTGGACCTCCTCCAGAAATTGGATTTGCACCTGCACCACCAATTGAACGTCGACAGTCTCTTGTTGAGACCATTGAACAGGATCTGAAGAAAGACCTAGAGAAAGAGCCATCACGGCATATAGTAGGAGCCGTGAGGACCATACCTTCACCAGCACAAAAGCAAAAGTGTGCACCACCACCACTGCCACCTAAAGAAAAGTCTGTACCACCACCCTTGCCCCCTAAAGAGAAATTATCAGAAATTAAACCAGTTCCACTCCCTAAAAAAGAGACAAAGAAACCAGTTGTTAAAGAGAAGCCATTTGAGAGGTTCCCAGACTTAGAGCCTTTCCCGTTCAGACCTGATGAACCTGCACCTAAACCTGCGAAATGTCCACCACCTCCAAAACCTTCAAAATTTATTAAGGGAGAATTTGTGAGTAGTGATTATGAAAGTGACATTGAATCAATACATATTCCTTCTAAGTGGAGACCATATGAAAGTGACACAGAGGAAATACTTGGCTATAGGAAAGTAGTTCCACCAACTTTGAAACAGCCTAAGAGACCAAAGTCAGCTGAACCAGATCCACTTCCTCCATCTAAGTTCGACCAGCCTCCTCAGTTTGTTGGTCCTCCACGACCAACAGTTAACAAAGTGCAAGCCAATAGGAAAGAAATTAAAGAACTGAAGACTGAAATCTCCAAAGTTACGTCAAAGGTTGAAACAAAGACTGAAAAGATTAAAAAGTATCATCACCATCACCATCATCATGTATCTGAACCAAAGAAGAAACATTCACCACCAACACTAAAACCTGGATCGCCTCCAATTTTTGTTCAACCTGATGCAGCTCCCACACAAAATGGAGAGGTTAAACCTGCTACAGATCAGAAGAAAGGTGAACCTGTATCACCCCCTAAAACAAAACCAGATTCTCCAAAGTTCAAAGCAAAGACTACTCAGAGTGAGTTTCCTGAAAGTGGATACATGGCTGACACTGATGAACCAAGACATTTAGAACAGACCACTCACAAATACTCTCATTTTAAACATGAGGAATCCAAAATGACTTTTGAGCATACAACTGTTGTTAGTGATATAGTGTCTGAACAAAGCACACAGACAGTGCAGCAGCAACAGCAGAAAATTGAAAAGTCACTTCCTACAAAACCTCATCCACCTTCTAAATTCCATCAGAGACATTCTGATCATAAGTCAGAGAAGAAAACTGTGGTACCTTCAGCAACAGCTCATTCAGAACCAAAGAAGGTGCGCAGTGTTATGGATTTGTGTTACTCTTCTCCCACCTCTCTGTTGTGTCACGAAACTAATTTCCACCCTTCTTCTCTGATATGTGGTTTTGTTTTTGTTTGTATGTATGTAGTTCCCTTTCAGCTCATAATGTTAACATAAAAACTGTCATTATTACTATTATCAAATAGCATGAATTTAATGCTCATTAACGTCTTTATTTTATTAATTTATTTTGACATAATAAGAGATATGCTTTACTCTAACATCATCAGTTTGAATGAGAAATAATGCTACTAGGAATGATATTGCATACTGGATATAAATTTGTTGTAGATTTGTATTACTATGTGTTGACTGGTGTGTGCCCATTTCAGTTGACTCCATAACCATATTTAATTGTAAAAAGTAAAAACAAGGTATTGTTTTTGGCGTTTTATGGTATTCAGTACGTAGTTAATGAAATTATATTATCTCACGTAAAATGTTCTGAGAATGCAAGTTAAATACATTGCTGCTGTGTACGCTAACATGAACTCAACTTATTTATAATTTGATTTTCCAGTATATTTTAATGCCCAGCTTTTTGTTGTACAGGAACTTCTTACTTCAGCAGCAGCAACAGGTTCAACAGACACAACAACCCAAGTGTACAAGGAAGAGCTTGTCTCCAATCTAGATCTATTCCCATTTAGAGCTGAATCGCCACAACCTAGAGTGAAGCATGTTATAGGGCCCCCTCCTCCAAGCCCATCAAAATTTCTGAAGGGAGAATTTCGTGAAAGTGATTATGAAAGTGACTATGATGGTAAGATTCCAGCCAAGTGGCGTCCATATGATTCAGATGTTGATGAACCATCATACAAGCCAGTAAAACCTGTTCTGACACCCAGTGGAAGACGAATTCCTTCTCAGGCTTCTACGGAAGTCAGAACACCAACACCACCAACTGAGTTTGACAACCCTCCTCAGTTTGGTGGACCTCCTAGACCCAAATTCGAACCAATTGAGAAGCAATCCCCTCCAGTTAAGTTAGAAGTTAGAATACCAGACAAACCTCAGAAAGTCTTCAAACCCACACCAGTAACTCCCAAACCCCCCTCACCGGTTGAACTAATTGTGGCAACCCCTGCTATTAAGGAACTAGATGTTATTCTGCAGCCAGGAACACCACCGGAATTGAATTATGCCCCCCCTCCACCTAGAATTGTTCCCTGTCAGAATGCTACACAAATGGAAACTTCAAAGGTGATGAAATTTGCCGAATCAACTCAGCATAGCCACAGAGTTGTAAGTGTTCAGCAGACAACAAGAGTCATTAAATTTGGAGATAACGAGAAGAAGATAGCACCAGAACCAAAACTAGAACCGTTCCCCTTCAAACCAGAACCGGAACGTCAGCGTCGAAGAAGTGGTCCGCCCCCTACCACACCCAAAAAGTTTATGCCAGGAGAGTTTCGTGAGAGTGATTATGAGAGTGATTATGAAGGAGCCCGCATTAAGCCCAAGTGGACTCCAGGTAATAGTGACACAGATGAGCCACAGTATCGGAAAGTAAGACCTCCACCTGTTACCAGATCGACTAGTGTTCCTGCAAAACCAACAGACTCTGTCCCTACTCCTATGGAATTTGACACAGAACCAGTAGTGCTACCAAGTCCAGTGAAAGTGACTGTACAGCCAAAAACAAAATCAGTGAAATTGGAATCTGAACAAAAGAGATTAAAGCGTGTTGAAGAAATGAGAAATAGATTCAGTGAAAGTACATACTCATCACTTCAGAAGAAGATGACAGCTGCTACAAAGAGCCATGCATCTGTGGGAGATTCGCAACAAATACTTCTCCAACCTGGTGAACCACCAGAATTCGGCTTTGTGCCAGCATCAACATCGTGTAAGTAATTTATTTTTATCAATGTATCACATTCAGTTGTTTTTAAATTTATTCCCTTACAGGGACATTTTTTGCCTTATACATGGACCATTATGATGTATTTGAAAGAACTTGGTGTGTCCCCAATAAGTTTTGATCTGAGACATTTGCAAATTTTTTTAACATGTTAAGAATATTGCCTCCTGAATCAAAATTTCTTATTAGGGAACTTACAGAAAGAACCACTGTAGTAACTGTTCCTGAAGAAACGCCAAACAAACTACAGACAAAAATTGAATGTTACATGGATATTTGCGGGGTAACAACCATTGTCATATGGATTCTCTTGAAACTGTTTTTGAACTTGAGATTCCTTACATTATAAAATAAAAGGAAGAAATTCTTATAAATCTTATTTAATACCACCAAACCCTTTAAAACATGACGTTCGTTTTTAAATTACCTGCTGTGTAAACAGACATGGGTAATCACATTACTGAGTTTCTGGATTTTGTCCATTGTCTAATCTGAAAGAAAACAGTGGTTCAAAAGCTGGATCTCTTTCCATTCTCAGATGAAAGGGTTTGGAGGCAATCACTGGGCATGCTCTGTCTAAGGGACCCACCTGACTAGGTGCCCCCCCATTTCACCTGAGGATGAAAACACACCCATTTTCCAAAATATTGTGTTCTTTCAGAATACCAGATGATGGACGCAGTGCAGAAACTCAGTAATCCAAAGTGCAAGAAAAGTATGATAAATATGGATATCAATAATTTCTGGGATGTGGCGCCCTGTGAACCGACATTTCAGAGGATCGTATTGCCTCCATTTTCAGGGTAGAAAAATCTGCGAGTGAGGAACCAGCGTGAGTAGGTGGCTGGTCATGTTCATATATAGCTGGGTGTTTTTGACTGGTGGCTGAATCTGCAGCCCCCCTGCTCATGCTGGTTTCCAGATCAGACAAAATTAAGGGACAGTTTTAATTTATTTAAAGATGACTTAACATCCCTTATATTGAATGCTTCTTTTTCTTCTGTTGAGGAATTTGTGTCTTTTTAAATTTTTAATATGTGTGTGAGTGTATTATTGTCCTTGAAATGATAAATATCTTATTTTCACTTAATTTTTATAACTTTGAGGATACACTGTTTATTCTGGTAATACTCGTAAAAAATTTTGTATGCAGGTTTGTCATATTGTATTTTTATATTTGTATATGGTATGCTTGTGGTGTGTACACAATTTGTTTATGTAGTTAAGTATTATAGTATTGGTGGCTTATATACAATAAAACTTGTTCTCTATCTGGAGGCTCTACTGCCATATATGGATTTCTGAAACAAATGAAGATATGATATGAATTAAAATTTTGGAACAAATGAAGATGTTATATGATATGAATTGAATTGAACTGAACTGCACTGAATCCAACGCCATATTGCCTTCATACTGACGGCATCATTAAATAACTAACTAAAATGGAAATATAAACTTTTTTAGAATCAGAGCATGGTTGATATATCTTTAGTGTGTTATTTTTGTAAAAACAGACAAATAGGTTTGTTATTGGTTACATCTAGGATATCTTTGAACGTACTCAAGACGTAGAACATTTTCGTAGAGCCAGTTTAAGTAACCACAATTAATTATCCTTTTAGATGTTGCTTCAAAACACGTGAGTGAGATGACAGATACATTCAAGTCCAAAGCACAGCAGTTTGTTGATGACATTATGACAGATGTAAAATCTACAAAGGAAAGTAGTCATGTGGAGAAACCTAAAGGTCTCACCCTGTCTGATGAAAATGATCCTCAGGCCTACAGAGAAGAATCTAGACTTGCAGAATATGGTAAGAAAATTTATTTAATACTTTTTTATATAAGAAACTGAATAATTTAATTTTCTTAAACAAAACAGTGGATTAAATAAATATGTACAGATTTTTTAAGAAGCTGAGTTCCTATAAAGGGCAAATGTTCTGTAAAATGCTGAAAATTTTCTTCTTGTAGTTTTCATGTCTTCAAGCCAAAGCATTCTGTTAATCTTCAGTATTTACAGTTCATAATCAGTTACAGGAAGTGAAGTGTAACAGAAACAAACTAGATTACATATTCTTTTATATGATGTTTACAGTTAACCTAGATCTCAAACATTCTAATTCATTTCAGTTCAAGGTTATTAATATATTAAATTGCTTAAGGACATATGATGTTATATAGGAAATTCAGAAGCCTACTATGTGGAAAAATTCATGAGCTAACAATTCAACTTGAGTTGTTACTGGCCAGTTTAATTGTAATGATGCATTAATATAAATATATAAACGTAAGTATCAGAATATAAATCAGTGTTGAATGTAACAGTATTAGTGGTATCTAATGCTCAGGCACTTGGAGGAATTCCATTGCCTTGAAATGTAAATACAGATTCAGATTTTGATGGAAACTATACATGAAAACTATGAAAGTTGTGTTCATGAGCTCTATCATATACCAGTGTTTTTTTCTAATATATTTACAAAGTGTGTTGAAAAAATTGTGTAATGTTTCCAAGTATTAGGGTGTCAGCAATCACAACAACCAGTATTAAAAAAGTAAGGAAATGGATGATATTGTGACATGTAAATCCATTTGCTAGGTAACGCCTGCAACACACACGTAGTTCAACATGCAACGGCTTGGTAAAGACACTTCCACACGTGTGGTGATGTCACGCCCCAAAAGTGCTTAGCTATCATGTGATGTGTTTTCTGTAGGTCAGCATCCAAAGTTTACAGGGAACAACAAAGGTTGTACAGAACTATTAGGCTTATTTTCGACTCTCTCCATCGTCTGGTATATAGAAGAATAAAAACCATGACGTTTCGGAGACTGGATCTGTCTCCGTCCTCCGGTGGGTGGGGCAGGATAAACCCACTCAGTTGGGCCTGTTAGAAAGAGCTAGTCTCAATCACTGGACAAACCCCGGTCAGTAGAGAACAGCCTATGAACACCCAACACCCGACAAACAACAAAGGTTGTTTGCGGGCAGTCGTAAGCTGGATGAGTGAAGTAGAAGCTAGGAGCAGTTGAGTACAGATTAGGACAGAGAGGGACAGAGTGATTGAAGACGAAATGACAAGAAGACTTCATAGTGATTTGAAGTAATAGTTCCTGTGTTATAAATCCATTGCCAAGAAATGGATAGCAGGTCCTAGTGTTCTGCCAAGTGAGTAAATCAACAGTAGCATACTGCATGTACTTAAGAGTGGTTGTAAAGGAAGGTGTTAATAAATCAAATCATCAAATTAAGAACCCCCAATTATTCATCATACGTATCCCCCTACATGTGACAATATCATTTAACAATATTTTGCTAACTTTGTTGCTTTTATTTTCTCATTGTTAGATTTAGTTTAACTTTGAACACATTGTTAGGTTTTAAATGTTTAATGCTCCTAGGAACAAAACACATTGATCCAGACACTGGACTCATTTACTTCAAATATGATTTTGGATATGAATTTGGAATTGTACTTCCTGGTGAGGGTGATAAAAAACCAAAGCATGCTCAAATTGAAAAGAAACGAGATGATGACATTGAAGTTCCTATAATCCATGAGACAAGTGGCTCCGAGAAGAAGAAAGGGCCTCAGCCTATTGCAGATTCGGGAAAGGTTCCACAATTCCGACCCAAGAAATTTTCCCACTTGAAAACTGTGAAGTGGGAACCAGTGTCAGAGAGTGAGATGTCTGAAGCTGAAGGAGATTCTATACATCACCACAAGAAGCGCTATAGCTTACCACAGTCCCAAAGTGGAGGGTTCCAGAAAGCTCCTCACATCTTTATCCCTCATTCATCCCGGTGGGACCAAGCATCTCCAAGCCCACTGTCTCTCTCACCCAGCTTACCAAGCCTGTCTCCACACTACAGTGGACAGGGTCCTCATGGTGCTGCATCTGGTGTAGATTCAGCAGGTACATTTCTTTGTGTGCTGAGTGTGTGGTGCTGCCATGTGTCTAACCACTAATGCAAGAACCAAGCATGGAAGGTTACCAGCATGTGTGCCACGTAATTAAGATTGTGGATTTAAGTTAGGGTTTTACGTGTTTTTCTGGGACAGTCCACAACATTTGGACCATCACTGTAGATCTTGTGTGAACCGATGTTTCGGAGGAACATATCGCCTCCATCTTCAGACTAGAAAAATCTGCTGGTTCCTCATTCACAGATTTTTCTGCTCTGAAGATGGAGGCGATACGTTTCTCTGAAACGTCAGTTCACACAAGATCTACATAGCGCCATATCCCAGAAGATGGTATTCTTCATAGTCACTGCTGTGAAAACCTCAAATTAGGAAAACAAATTCCCAAACTTGAATCTTGCCTATGCTATGAAATAAAGATTGCCATACAGTTATATTTTTTTTAATTCGCTTAGTGGGGAGTGGTACAGTTATATTTACTTAAGGTACAAGTACTGCTTCTACTGGGTATTAAACTCATTAACTGGTATCTTGGTCTGAAATTCTGATATTCGCCTATTGCACTGAAATACTATGGTACAATCCTAGTAGTTGTAAAATGTACTTCAGAACTGCCACCAAGAAATCTATTCTGAGACTACAACTTTAATTGCTGACACTGCTACTGCTATGTTCTTTCTTGTGTATATAATTATTCAGAAGTACATAATTGAAGATTAGTGTTTAGACATTTTCTGTCACTGTCCACATTGAGTGGGTCCCATGTCACAGTGGCATGGCACATTCGCGTGTTGCCACATATGGACTGTGGCTGCAGATATATTCAATAAGCAGGCAGATATCTGGTTCTTCATCTTTGGGTTGTGTGAGGAGAAAACAACTGCTCAGTATAAGAAAGCAGCATATTATGAAACAGTACACAGTTGTATACCCATCAGCTTCTCAAGAAAAATTTGGCACCATGCAGTTAGTTATGATACTGTGGTCTGATAATCTCAGAGAAGTACTGGACAATCTACTGGGCGTTAATTTGAAAGCTTTATATTTGCTGTACATTTATAGAAAATGAATACAAAACTGAGAAATTGGTGCTGTGAATTAAAATAAAGGTAAAGCTATCCTTTTAACAGGTGGTGGAGGGCCATAGGTTTTGAGACATCAAGGCTCGTGTCATTTTCTAGGCAGTTGGCTCACATGGAGTAGTGAATTTGTCAGCCTTATGCACCAGCCACCCTTCCTGATACTCATTTCTGTTAGAGGCTGATTCGACCTCAGGGCCATGTTGCAGCTCAAAGGATTAGGTTAATTGAAAAATCCAATGACCTCATCAAGAATCAAACCCATGATATTCTGACTTGTAGCATAGTGCCTCAACCAGCTGCAGTATTGCATTCCCCGCCGTACTGCCATGAATTAACACAGTAGTTGAATTGTTGTTGTCCCTTATCATCTTTGTCAATCAGTACAACTTTCTCATCGCTTACCCGTTTTATAATCATTCAGCCTTTTTACTGAAATTATTTGTATATTTTTAAAGAGTAATTTCTAATGATCAGTGGCAATTGTGTACACACAGTAAATTATTCTTGAGTTTGTTTGCTTGAATCTGTTGTCTGAAGTTCTGTTCCTCCAACTGTTTTATATTCTAATATGAGAGTTCCCTGCCTATATCACACTGATGGTGATACATATTCTTGAGGGTTGGAGAGGACATACATCTCTCCAGTTTCCTATCATAGTATCTAATTGAGCCATTATGGTGCAGTCTTTTCAAGTGAAGTATGGAAGAAAATAATGAATGACTAAAGACCATAACATAAATTGGCTATAAACATACATATAGTGAGAGATTTCCTGATTTATAATCTTTACGTCCTATTATCAGGGTAGTTAGTCAAAGAATTTAGGAATGGCTTCAGCTGTAATGGAATGGGTAATTTGTGTGTTGCCTCAGGAAGGAGAAGTAATAGTCTGAAAATTATTGAAGTTTATTACTAGAGAGTCAACATTTGAATTGATATTATGATTTTTCATCATAAGGTCTTGAAAATGTTATATTTGCATAGGCCTGAAACATATTACCAAACTGATATGCCACTTAATTTTGTCCTAACATACCAACAGCAATATTTAATTCAAAATTTTCAGAACAAATGTCTTGAAATTTATCTAAGTAAATTGCATCTGTTATTGGGTAAGTGTGTTTTTCTTATTTCTACCCAGTAGCTTTCCACGGCCCTAAGGGTAGTTACAGGTAATGTAACACAAATGGATTTCCTATGCAATTATCAGAATATGCCAGCTGATGAAATTGTACTACAGTATTAAAATGTTTTAACTTTTCAAGCTCATTGTTCAGAGTATTCATCACAGTACTCTTAACCTGCCTGGAGTGTGTTTACATTGTGGGTTCTAAATCTGATTTCTTCATTTTGGAATCTTTGTTGATACAAAATAACTTCACTTTGTTGGGTTATTTTAGAGAAGACAAGCAGCTTTTATGAGAGTGATACATGAATGTTATTTGAATAAGATAATTTTCTGATCTGGGCTGTTACATGTTTCTGCTCATAATTTGTATGTGAGTCATGCTGTACTCAGAACTAGAAACATAAATGTGTAATTGTGATATTACATATTTTGGCTGCTGTGTGAACATCTGAGTTATAATATTCCATATGATATCAGCAGTTTTTGCATCAGTTCTACAGTTACTTCAAAGAACAGTGCATATAAAGAAAGCAGTCTTCTGGGATTTGACACTGTGTATATGTGGTGCCAAATCCCAGAAGACTGCTTTCTTCATAGTCACCACCGTGAAAGCCTCAAATCTTACAACAGTGCATATAATTTGAAAACAGTTGCAAGAAACAATAATAAACTCATTCATTCATTCATTTATTTCAAATTCAGTAAATCCAAAACATAGGTTGAAATACAACCCTGGATATAGAACATGTCAATAATAATATTAAAATAAGTTCCAAACATTGAAACAGTCAAGATAAACAATAAAAACGATATAAAATAGTACACAGTGTAATAACAATTTCATTAAATACAAACAGATTAAAACAAAGAATTTAAATTATCAGTAACATGAATCTTCTATATACAATTCCACCCAAAATATATTAAGTACAAAAGATTATTATGCGCTTTAGTTTCAAGATAAATATAAGCAATAAATATAACGCCTCACATACCAGTTAAATATCATATATACCTGTCACAGTCATACAATAGTCTGAAATCATTTACATAATTTAATGTAATCGTGTGTTAAAAAATAAATTATTAATAAAGTATTATAAAAATATTCATCGGGAAGTAGTTTGGTAAAATTCATCAATGCTATAAAATGCATGTTCAGTGAGATATCTTCTCAATAAAAATTTGAACTTCTTAATTTCTCCAGATGATGATTTAATATTCAAAGGTAATTTATTATACAATTTGCTTCCAGAGAACAGGACTCCTTTTTGTGCAATTGATAAATTTGTAAAGGGTAAGTGTAAATTGTAATTATAACGGGTATTAATATTATGTATTTCTGTATTAAATTTGAAATAATTTTTATTCTTAATAACAAAGAGAAGCAAAGAAAAAATATATTCAGATTGGAGTGGCAATATTTGTAACTTTTTAAACAATTCCCTACAAGAATCATATTTTCCTGATCCAGACATAATTCTTATGATTCTTTTTTGTATTTTAAAAATGTTCTTACTAAAAGGGGCATTACCCCAAAAGATAATGCCATACTTCAATATTGAATGCACATAAGAGTGATAAATCGTCTTTATTGTATCCAATGACATAAAGGGTTTTATTGCCCTTATTGCAAAACATGCTTTGCTTAGTCTTACTGATAATAAAGTTAAGTGATTTTTCCATGACAATGAACTATCTATATTTATTCCCAAAAACTTTGAACAATTAATATTTGTAATTAATGTATTAGTAATTGTACTTTGGATTTCTATTTCTCTATGCTTCTTTAGGAAAAATTGTAAAAACTGTGTTTTATCACAATTTAGAGTTAAAAAGTTTTTTTTAAACCATATCATTGCTTCATTAAAAATTAAGGTAACATTACTTCTAAATTTTTCAGGATTCAAATTAGATACAATAATACTTGTGTCATCAGCAAATAATACAGGCTGAGCTAGTTTTCTTAAGGAAGATGGGAAATCATTAATGTAAATAAGAAATAATAGTGGTCCCAGTACAGAGCCTTGTGGCACTCCATGTTTGACCATCATCCATTTAGAGGATACTTTATTCAAATTATTATCATTTATAATCGTTCTTTGATATCTATTTTCAAGGTATGATTTCATTAGTTTTATTGCTGAACCCGAGATTCCATAAAATTTCAATTTTTCCAGTAAGACATTGTGATTTACACAATCAAAAGCCTTTTGTAAATCACAAAATAATCCACCCACATATTCTTTTTTGTCCAAAGAAGTTAATATATTATCTAAAAGATTATATGTTGCCATTTCAGTAGATGATTCTTTTCTAAATCCAAACTGTTCCTTGGCCAATATATTATTCCTATTTAAATGAGAATAAATTCTTCTATAAATAATCTTTTCAATGATTTTAGAGAAAGTTGGAAGAAGTGAGATTGGCCTATAGTTAGAGATTTCAGTTTTATCACCCTTTTTATAGAGAGGCTTAACTTCAGAAAACTTAAGCCTATCTGGGAAAATACCAGTTAATAGTATCTTATTACATAGATATGTTAGGGGAGACAGGATATACGGGGCACTAGATTTCATAATCTTCAATGATATTTCATCATAGCCATGAGAATTCTTCGGTTTCATTGACAATATTATTTTTTTAATTTCATAAGAATTAGTATTACTAAAGTTCATTTTTGGAAATAACTGGTGTGAATTTTGATGTAAATAATATAAAAAATCCTTATTATTATCAGGAGATTGTTTATAAAATTTATTGTTGAGTAATTTTTCAGCTATAGATGAAAAGTAATTATTAAAAGTTTCTGCAATATCAATTGGATTTTCTGACAATTTATCATTTGTTTTTATCTTAATTATATTATCAACAGATCCTTTTTTGTTTGTAATAGTTTTCACAATATTCCATGTAGTTTTAGTCTTGTTATTAGATTTTAGTATAAGTGTATTATAATATAATTTTTTGGCTGCCACTATAACCCTAGTTAAGATTCTACAATACTTTTTAAAGTGTTCTTTGATATTAGGATCGCTACTGCTTCAGGAAACAAGATACAGTGTTCTTTTATTTGCACATGAAACTTTAATACCGGATGTTACCCATGGTTTCTGTGCATGTGGATATCGAAAATTTTTTATGGGAAAACATGAATAAAAAATTCTAAGAAATATGTTCAAAAATTTATTGAAAGCTATATTCACATTAGATTCCAAAAAAACCTCTTCCCAATTTTCATAACTTAATAAAAACTTAAATTGATCTATAGAATAGCTATTAATATCTCTTTTTTGGTAAAATATCTGTTTATGGGCTGTGACAGTGATATTATTAAAAACAATGACCTGAGCATCATGGTCAGACATACCATTTATAAGTGGATAAACAGAAAATTCATGAAAATCGCTATTAATATAGACATTATCTATTAAAGTACAAGAATTATGAGAAATTCTAGTCGGAAAATTAACTATACTACAGAGATTAAAAGAAGCAAGGAGTGAGTTTAAACAATCTTTCCTAGTGTTATCATTTAAATAATTTACATTGAAATCACCACATAAAATTATCTCATTTGTAGGATTATATATCTTATTTAGTAATGATTCCAGCTGATTTAAAAAATATAAAAAATCTGTATCTGTGGATACTCTTGCTGTATTTCAATTTAGAACACATTCCATGAGACATCTTCAATGTTATGATATTTTTTTCAGACACTGCGAACTATGTTCTCTAAGGCTGAAGCTATATCTAACTGTATTTCATACATACCTAGTTTTTCCTGTTATCTAATAATGAATTACTGTTAATAGAACGGAATCTTTGAATTAATTCAAATACAAAGTAATATTGCAAGATCAAGCTTTAGTATATAAACAGTGTCGTAGGCTTTATTCTGTGGTATATGTTGGAGTGCATAATCTGATTGGTAATTACCACATAAACCCTCTAATAAATGAACCAGAGTGAAAGATAGCAAGAAATATTGAGTTAACACGTTCATTGTTTTACCTGTAAGAGTGCATGTTTTATTAGTTGATAGTTCATATGTTATGTGGCTATGGTTTAAGTTGGAATATATACATGTATAACCTAGATGTATTGCACTTAACCATTAGCCATATTTGTTAGAGTATTATCAAATTGTGTTTTGTATTAATCCCTACAATGTTGTGTGGAGCTTTGTATTATGAAGAGCAGTAAGAGTCTAATACAACCTGTGTGTTTTATTACATGCTGTTCTTTTTAATGTAAGTAAAGTATTTGGATTTATAAGTATATGTCTGTTTGTCAAACCTTCTGGTACTTACCAACAGGACTATCTGCTTTTCAGAGGGTAATAAAATTTCATGGATACCTTTCATGTAATGCTTAATTTTAAACCCGAAATTATGAATTCAGAAACTTTCAGCTTGCTGGGTAAAATTAAACTTGGCAACAAGCCTGGAGAATCGGTTTTCATTAGTTTTGTGCACAGGGTAAAATATGTTATTTATCTTACATTTGCCATCATACCGTCATTCAGCCCGGACTCTTTAAGACAATTCAGCTGTCTGAAGTGTACATTGGTACTTGTCTAATAGGGCATTTCAGATATTTCTGAACAATATGCAATATTTTGATCATAATAGAATAAATAATATTTACTTTGCAGCATCACCAGGGGGTTCATGGCAAGGTCTCAGTCCAAACAGAGGACCACGTTCACAGGGACGAGGAAGTACTCCAACACCACCTAGCACACCCAGCACTCCTGGTAGTACTCATGGTTCAGCTGGAAACTTGCCTCAGCCTCGAAAACCCCCAACCTTCATCACCGTAAGTAGTTAGATGCTGAATTATTTTGAAATTAAATCATAGTGCCACAAATTCAGTTATCGAACAGAAGGGGGGGGGGGACCAGCATGGATAATTCAGAACAATAGACAGTCTGAAAATGTGTGTAGTTTGCTTTAGAATTGTAGTCTTATAGTAGTACTACAGTCTTACCTTGCATAGTGAGTGATACATTATATATGGCCTATCATAGACTCATATATATGTTTTGTACTATGTGATATCCAGTCATATTTATATTGTATGATTAAATAGCTAATTATTATTTTGTTATCTAGTATAAACAATGAAGGATTCTATATCTATGTACATAGACCTCTGGAAGACACATTAAATATGAATATGAATATGAATATGAATAAGTCTGTGTAACAACAGGTTGTGAGAAAACGCTGCATTTGCTGATCATTCTAAATAATGTAGTAATCTTTCATTTCACTGAAAGCAGATAAATAACTTGAGTTATTTTCAGGATTAATTTCTTTATCATCCTGTTTTTCTGTTTCAATTATCTGGTCTTGGACTTTTTCACTATTGGCCAATGCCTCATAGTGAGGGACTGTAGATTCAACTTCAACTCCTATTCAGTGTTCTCAGAGTTAACATTCTTACAGTCAACACTGAGACTGACCCAGCTGCAGTAATTGTCTTTTTGTCAAAATCTACTCATTCATTTGTTTTCTTCAGTGTTCGGCAATCTCATTTTCCATGCTGTGCTTGTGTTAATAAATCTTACCTTATTCCAAGTTCTTGTTCTTTCATAGAAATTCCATCTGATAGCAAAGATTCTTCCAGGGAAGTATATTAATCATCTGTGACTTCTGGAGAACTCCTACTTGGCTATAATTTTCTTAATGATTATAGAAACATTAGTATTGTTGAAGTGTGAAATTCCTGGCAGTGTAAAAACAGCATAAATGCAATATAGCTAAACTTAACTGTATACCAAGCACCATTGTCAAATTTTTCTGTGAATCATTTCTTCAGAACTGTTTCAAGAAAAATTGACTTCTTAGGAATACAGGAGAAGTTTCATATGGTGTGAAAGATCATTCAGAGAGTTCATGTAAGACATTATGGTGATGCTGTTAGAAAACAGGAAGAGTTTAACAAATATAGAGTTTAAACAAGACACCTAAAGACATGAAATGATCAATGCATATGTAACTATTTCTTTGATATTGAGGCTTCTACAGGTTATAGAACCACATGACTAATCTATTTGCAGAGGGTCAAGAAGCTAATGTATTTCTGATATAGTATTTCAGCATTCTGTTGCATTGCTATATCACTTTACACACTTATTTCCATCTTTAATGCAACTTTACAATTATTCCTTCATTTAAAATATTCTATATTTTATTTTGAGTTAAGGAATAATTGTAAAGTTGCATTAAAGATGAAAGTAAATGTGTAAAGTAATGTATTCCCTACCAAGACAGTTCCCCTATATGAAATATGATGAAATAATTCTTGTAATGATTATATTACAGCAAATAAGTCAGACAAATGAACAAAGCTTGTCTGAGACAAAGCGTGCGTCAGTGCAGTTGAAACATCCTGCGTTGCCTGCCAGAAAAAGTAGTTACTATAGGATTCTGACGATGGTGTATAACACACTGATATATTGGGTTTTTGGACTTTATCCATCATCCTGGTTTTTAAGATAACTAATAAAAACACGACGTTTCAGAAACTGGATCTAGGGACATAAGGTAGGCTGGGATGAAGCTAAGATTTTGGATATTGAAAGCCACATCAGGTATAGGAAATACAAGGAAGCGGCCCATATGGCGTGCTCGGCCAACCCAATTAGCCAACCCAGTTTGGACTTTTCTCCCATTTGAATCCCCATTATCAGCAATGAAGTCACCAATTCACATAGAAAATCTGTATGACGTGATATATGCTTTTATTCATTTCTATTAATTTCTAAATTAGATGACGTGATTTACTCCATTGTTGACGCTAGTTAGACACTATTAGTTTTTGTTACTAGTTCTTCTTTCTGTTCCATGCCGTGGGGTCATGGACCTGGTTATGAGTTTGGTTTTGTGGCATAAATTTCTACAGATCTATCTATCCTGGTTCCACGCTTATATGTGTTTGCAACGATTTGTTATGAATATTTTTCTCATTAGCTCTCATGGACTTAACCTGGTCTCAGGTATTTATAATCTTCATGTTCTGTAACATCGGTTTGTCCAGTGATTGAGGCTAACTCATTCTAAGGGATCCAACAGAATAGGTGTTTTCCTTCACCTGAGGACGGAAACAGATCCAGTTTCGGAAAGGTCGTGTTTTTATTAGTTATCTTAAAAACCAGGAGGATGGATAAAGTCCAAAAACCCAATATATCTGCCAGAAAAAAGTTTAAGGTGACACCATCCTCCAGGAAAGTGATGCTCACAGTCTTCTTGGATCATGAAGGCATGCTGCTCACTGCATTCCAGCCTCAAGGTGATGCAAGATGTTTCCACTGCATTGATGCGTGCTTTGTCTTGGGCTGGTAATGGTGAGCCCAAGACTCATCACCTGTGACAATTAGGGCTAGCATATCTTGTCCTTTATCATGATAGCGATTGAGATGCTGTAATGCCAGACCCATTCTTTGCATTTTGTGTTGTGGGGTCAGCATGCATGGCACCCATTGTGCACAGACTTTGTGAAAACCTAACCTGTCATGCATTATGAAGTAGGCCATGCCGTGTGAACACGCCTGGTTCCGACAGCAGCCCAAAGAATTTTGTGTTGCTAGTTTTCACAGGCTTGTGAAACAGTGGGACAAGTGCCTCAATGTACAGGGAGATTATGTTGAGAAATAGCATTTTTCATATCAGTGTTCTTATTTGTTTAAGTTCTCTATCCATTTGTAACTTACTTATTGACCTACACTTGTATTTTAGGCGAGTCATTGATATATAAGAGAAACAACAAAGGCCCTAATACAGACCCTTGCAGTACTCCCTGTCTAACACTAAGCCAATCTCACATCTCTTTTATGTATTACTGTTCTAATATATCTGTTACTTAAATAAGATTCATAATATGCGTGATCTTTCCCAGTAATACCATAAAATTTAGGTTTGGACAGCAAGATATCATGACCTACACAGTCAAAGGCTTTCTCCAGATCACAAAAAACACCTGCCACTAATTGTTTGTTGTTCATAGAATTTAAAATCTCTGTAGTCAATTTGTAAATTGCATTATCTGTTTTTAATCCTTTCCTAAACCTGTATTGTTCAGTACTTATGATATTATACTTATTAAGATGTTCTAAAGTTCCCGTATATACATATATTATAGTTTCAAATATTTTTGAGAAAGACATTAAAAGTGATAGAGGTCTAAAATTAGATAGATCACATATATCATCATTCTTATACAAAGGTTTTATTATGACATATTTTAGTCTATCAGGAAAAACTCTTCCCTTTTACATTCTATTGCATATATAGTAGTTTGCCAGTGAAATTATAAATGGCGAACTTATTTTTAAAATAATGGGTGATATCATATCCACACGAGTTTTTTAATTTAAGAGATTTTATTATATTCTCTATTTCTTTATTTGTAGAGCATTTATAGTTTACATTTGGATATGAATTTATAGAAGCTTGATCCATATAATACATATGATTTTCTTCATTTTTTTAGTCATTCCTAGGTATGGAATTATTGTTGGCTTGCCTTTTTATTTTATAGGCAACATTGGCAAAATATTTATTAAACTCTCTTACAATATCTTGTTGTTTATTTAGTATCCTACCATCAGTTTTTACTGTGTTTATTTCTATCCTACTTGTGTTCCTACCTACTTCTTTCTTTATAATACCCCAAGTAGTTTTTATTTTGTTGTGGGAGTGTAGGATACATTTATCATACTCCATTCTTTCTGCCTTTTTTATAACAGTACTCAGTATTTTAGAATAGTTTCTGTAATAAACTCTAAAATTAGGATTCTTATTATTCCTTAATTCATAGATTTCTTGTTTATGTTTACAAGATTTAATTATTCCTGGTGTGATCCACAAATTATTTTTTCGGGTACATTTTTTCTGAGTTAAAGAGAAACTGGAATAATAAGTTCTCAAAAATATATTTAAAAATAAATTGAAACTCTTGTTAACGTCATTTTCATCAAAGACTGATTCCCATGTTTCCTGGCGTAATTGTAATTGAAAATTTGCTATGATATCATTATTTATCATCCATTTCAAGTAAGTATATTGTTGTCCCTGATTCTGTAATTTATGTAGTATTAACACCTGGGCATCATGATCTGATGGACCATTTATAAATGGATATATATTGTATTTACCAGATCTTGTTGTATCAGAAAAAAATTATCGATTATAGTACTTGTGGACATGCCCACTCTAGTGGGAAATGTTACAATACTAATAAGATTATAAGAATACAAAATAGCATCTAATTGCTTTTTTCTATTATCATTATCATTTAAGTAGTTTACATTTATATCGTTATATTTTAGCGTCCTGTTGCACTGATTTATGTCCATGATTTATTCTAGCCGTATTACAGTGCATACACTCATCCACTTCACTCTTCACTCCCGCACTACATGTTTCGGCACAAAGGTGCCATCTTCAGGTGCTTTTTGATTTACGTTAAACTACTTCACTGCATGCCTTGCTGTCTTCATACTAAAATAACTAAAATATATGTTCATCATATATATTGATAAATATTAAATATTAAAAATTTTAAAATATTAAAACTGTTCAGGATTTTTATCCCTTCGTCGCATCTCAATACGTGAGTCACACCTATCCTCTTCTATCCGAGCACATTACCTATTTTCATGTGTTACACACGCAGTCACAGGAGCAAGACACAACACAAAGCACAATACACACACGAAAATAAGAAAAGTGCTCCGATAGAAGAGGATAGGTGTGACTTGCATATTGAGATTCGACGAAGGGATAAAAAATCCTGAACAGTTTTAATATTTTTAATATTTAATATTTATCAATATATATGATGAACATATATTTTAGTTATTTTAGTATGAAGACAGCAAGGCATGCAGGGAAGTAGTTTAACGTAAATCAAAAAGCACCTGAAGATGGCACCTTTGTGTCGTAACATGTAGTGCGGGAGTGAAGAGTGAAGTGGATGAGTGTATGCACTGTAAGACGGCTAGAATAAATCATTTACATTTATATCACCACATATAATTATATTATAATTCTCACGGTATAGTTTATGTAAAATCATATCTGGTTTCTCCCAAAAAATTATAAAATTACCCTACGGAGACCTATAAATAGTCAATATACAAAATATTTTCTCTCCTGGTGAATTCATAGGCAGATGAATTGCACATGCCTGAATATCTTTTTCAGTGGTGAATTCTTCTAAATTAATGGTGTTATATTTTAGTTTGCTATATATAAATATGCTTACCCCATTTTTTTTTAATTTCCTATAATATTTCGCACCCAGTGTATAATCACTCAAATAAGTCAATTGAAATTCAAAATCTTTCAAATGATGTTCAAACATACGTATAGTATGCAGTGGATCATGGGATAAATGACAATAAAGTTCGTTTAATTTATTTCTGAATCCTCTGATATTTTGATGAAAAACTTTCAGTGATGCATTTGATATGATTTGATTATCCACTAGTCCATCACCCATAAAACATCTTTATTTCTATTTACTAGGTTTCTTTTTCGTCTCTTTGATATTCTAACTTCCTTATTAGCAGTTTCACTATTTTTCCCAATTACAAGATTCTTTTATACCTCTACCTGATTTAAATCTTCATAAACTTCTTCCCATTTTAACAGAATGGGAGGCTCTTTATGCTTTACCATAAGTGCTTTTATATTTTTCCCTAGAAGTATAGCTACCTTTTCTCTACCTGAAACGTTCAAGTGCATACCATAATGTCTGAATTCACTTCTACTCAGATTTGCATACATCACACTCACATTTCATAATTCATAATTCATAATTTTATTTACATCCATAACTGTAAAATATACAATCGGATAAAGTCAAAGGGAATATATAGATTTAATAACAATCACACCTAACATAATCAAAGAATACATAAATACTTAAATATATTATATAAAAAACCACCAGCACATGCATTAACAGACAATTACAGTCATTTAATTCAACATCTTACATATAAANAGGTAAAGTTGTCTCTGTGCTTAATTAATTAAGCACTGTGCTCTAAGACATATGGAGGAGTAGAATTGTAGCTCCACCATTTCTGATCTTGGTGTTAGATGGAGGTGAGTTATGATGAAAATTTTAATTCCTCAGCAATTTTTGAATGGTACTAAAAATGTTGGGCACAGTTTATTTGTTCCTCACAGCCAGCCATGTTCCATTTGCTTTCAGAGTATGGCATAATCTGGATTCCAGAAGTAATACATTCATCAGAGTAACACTTCTGTTATTTCTGTACCCTAACAAAGCATGGAAAGAAGTGTAGATTCTGGTATGTGAAGGTAACTCTAAGCAAGAGAAAAGCTCAGCAGAGTTTGCTCACATTCTAAAAGGCTCCTTTTGGAATATAACTCTGAAATTTTGAAAACTATCTCTGCACTCATTGTTCAAGAACAGTGTGAGGTAAATGGAAGAGTGAAATAGTAGCAGTGTATGAGGTTAACAGAAGAGTGAGATCACAGAGCTGCTGCAGCCATAACTGGGGTCTCTTGTCTAGCACCAATCTTTGATTGATTCCATGATGTATTCATGGTGAATCCATCATCCCTCTTGAAATCTGTTGAGATGGAATTGAATTTTAATAGCTCTTTGGTAAGAAACCAGATATCTTTTGAAGAACTGTGGTCTTGCTGCAACAGTTTAGCAGATGACATACATATTGTATCCTGCCAACTTTCCGCCTGATGTAATTTTGGAGACCATTTGTTCTTCATATATCATATTGTAACGTGTTTTGTCTCTGAAGACACTGTTCGGATTGTTAATTGGTTTATTTACAACCTACAAATCGTAATTACAATTACAAATAACTCAGTTGCGGATTTACACAATTTATAAACCCTGTACAATAATCTGTTCACTCTATCTTCAATAGTCCTCACTTCTACAGTGCAATACGTGAGCTTTACCAGTGTCATTGTATTACACACTCCCAATACCTTCTCACACTATCGCCTCTAATCACACGTTCCGGTCTTCTTCATGATTCACTCGCTACAACTGAACTCGGCGACTGCTACAATTCAACTGACTTGTTACTCATGATCCACGCTGTGTCACTCCTAATCACACACTCTGGTCACATACTGTTCAGCCGGCTTTTTATACCATTCCCTGTTGCCTCATGTTAGCAGCGGTGTCCCCTTGTTACGTCACAGTGGGAAGTGCTGTTACGTCACTGCGGGGTAGTGTGACGGAGTTTTGACTGGCCTGTTACCGTAGCAGCGACAGCGCTCCCATGCTGTTACATCACCGCTGGCGGGGGAGGGGTTGTCCTGTATAGCGCAAATACATCACAATATGTTAGTGATATTGTTTGTTAGAGCAACTTGTCATAGTCACAAAAGGTACTTCTGGAGTCTTGGTTTAAAATTAGCAGCAGGCTGAATTGGGGGCATGTAGTTAGTTCCAGGATGATAGATCCTGTTGCCCTTGAAATGAAACAGTGGTACCATGTGCATTTCTTGTTACATGTATCTGACATCTAAAGGTAGAACATTCTGTTAGTTTATTATTATTCAGGACTAATGAAAGTGCCTCTGCTTCACCCAAGTACTTAAAGTGTACTAAAATCATGAAATTGTCTGTTTTTGTTACTGTCTTGTTAGTCACTGTCCAGTCATTTACCATTACAGAAGTCATGAATTTAAGGAAATAAAATTCAAAGTGGGTTGAAAATAGCATTATGATTTGAATAAATTATATTAACATAAACATTTTATGCAAGTGTCTGAACTCAAAATGAAGCCATTTGGAAAATCTCTTGTAAAATTGTAACACATTTTAATTTATTATGGAATGTGACCTCAGTCATCCCTGGAAAACAATTAGATAGCCAGTTACTAAAAATAAATATAAGTAAAGTCATGTGATCACATAATGTTGTGTATTACTCAGATAAAGGAAATCAGTTATTGTAGCAAGAATCGTTTCAAGCTATAAGTAATCAATCCTAAATTTTTTCCACCAGCCTCTTCGTGATATTGCTGTTGTCAGTGGACAGAATGCCCGGTTTGAATGTATTGTCCAAGCTGAACCCCCACCAAATATCTTATGGTCAAAGAATGGCAGAATCATCGAAAATTCACAGAATTACCAGATCCAGTACAGGAATGGAGTTTGTCGTCTCACCATCCCACAAGCCTTTCCTGGTATGTATCATAGACTTCATGATTAATATGTGGCATGAAATGATACATTTAAGAGAATTAACAAGTCTCCTTACTATTTAAACCTTAAATTTCCTTATGAGGTACTATTTTCCCACCTTCTGTGCTTCTGTATTATCTACTAAATTCAGTCCCATACCTGATGGTACAGTTGGCTTAATTCTGGTTATTTACCTGAACAAATTAAACAGAACTTAATCATCTGTTATGTTAATATGTTTGTCAGAGTTACTAAAATTTTCACATTATGATTCATAAATAATTAACCCTATGTAAGGGATAAGTTTGCATGAGGCCCTCTTCATATCATTGTCACACTGCACTCAAAGCAGGAAAACTGGAACGAAAGTACATAACACTTAATTCTCAGACATTAGAATCAGTTTTTTTTTTTTTACCTGACTGTGTCACACAAATGCAGTTCCACAGCTGGCCATTTCCTGTATAACTAATACAGCCATTGTGTTATTTGTTATCAGTGATTGTTATATTACGAACATAACTGCAAACCAATAGATGTAACATTACTTGTGGGAGAATGCAATATTTATCAAATGAAATTTATAGTAATGTAAGTAGAATTCATTTAAACACACAGTGACTGTGCAGTCTGGGTGCTTGCTTCCTGGTCTGTGTAAACACTGAGGTTGCAGGTTTGCACTCTGTTCAGATCAAGGATATATGCCCGTGTTCTTTTCTGTTGTGTTGTTATGTAAACACTGAAACCATACGATGATCTGGTCCTCCATCTAAGGAGCTCCATCAGATGTCTAAGGCATTGATGCTCAACCTTTTGCATGTTGCATCCCACAAGTAATTCTGTCAAAAGACATATACCCATTATAGAAAAAACAAAGTTTCCCTCTTTCCAAAAAATATATTTTTACAATTGTGTACAATTTTGTATTAATGATTAATGAAAGATGTTATTTCTGAGATCTCACATTTCACTCAGTCGACCCTTAACTCCCACCACGAGATGCATCCCACCATAAATAGGGATTCTGTGGAAAAGGCCAGAGGACCTACCACATAGCTTGCTTTATGCATTGTATGTTTTAGGTTGCCTAGCAAACATCAAACTGGCAGGATGAAAGGAAACAGCGTAGACAGAAAGATTTTATACTATAGATGTTTTATTACTTCCATGAATACAATTTTTAGAAACTTTCTAGTGAGGTACATTAGTTTACCACATGTATTAGATGGAAAAGGAAATAATTTGGAGCAAGTGGTTAAACGTGTCTTCTTCTGTTTGTAGAGGATGCTGGGTCATATACATGTACTGCAACAAATATGCTTGGTACTATCGGTACTACAGGATCATTGCAAGTTCCAGGTGAGAGACGATCAGTACGTATATAATTTTGCTGGAAGTGTTTCTGCAGACCCCAGTGGTATTATATTTTGAAACAGTTATTGAGGTTCAGTATTTATTTGAGAGTTCTTTTGTGTGATCTTTAAGGTTCTAGTCAGTGAAAGAATATCAGTCTATGAACAAATTAATTTTAAAAGCCAATGTCAAAATTATGTTTATTAATATTTTGAAGTCAGTTAGCACATTATACCTAATTTAACAGTGCTGCAAAGGTATCTTCTTGTTAATACTCATGTATAAGAGAAGTTAATTTTCTTTCAATACTTTGAGCTGTCATATACTTCATATTGAGGTTTTATGTACATGCTAGGGTAGTTATATGAACTGGATGCGACAAGTTGTGAATGTAGTGCAAATAATTTGTATCTCTATCATAAGTAGTGATTTTGTGTATATTTATATTGAATTTTATACCGCAGCTTTTAGTAATTTGCATTTTTGAGGTTTTGGCAGCACACTTGAAGGCAGAATGAGGTGACATGGGTGCATGTGGGAAGTGGCACATGTATGTTGCATGTGGTATGTAGACTGGTGATGGGCTTATGTTATGCAATTGTAAACCATGATGTATGAATATTTGGCAGCTAAATGTAGGCTTTATGAAATTCCTTTTATGCATATTCATTTGGAAATTGTGTTCATAATTGTAAACATATGCAACATGAAATAGATTTTGAAGAACAAATTTGTGTACTGCTTTATTAAAGTACTAGTGCTTTTTTACACATAAATTTGTTTGACTGTAGCATTATTTCATATAAATAAAAAATAATAGTGTCTTGTTTTGTGAGAATGTCTTCATTTCAAAAGCTGACAAGATCTTGTAGCTGCTGGTCCTGTCCATACAGCCACAGTTAGTTCCAGAAGGTGAGGAGACTAGGCACACACAACAGAGGTCACTGTTTGTCTAGGAGATGTGGATGGTAATTCAGGAGTTTCCGTAAAATATTGTTAACCTCATAACAGCATATTTTTCAAAAAGAGTCATATGACCATAGAGAAGAAGTGGTATGCTGATAAAAGTCCCAGGATACAGAATTTTTAATGAAATATTTGTCAGGATTTCTTAAAAACTATCTGAAGAAGTTGTAATAGTTAAGATAGTCTAGCAATAAATGTCAGAAACTACAAATTTGCATTGTAATTAGTAGAGCAAATATGCTTTTAAATTACTAAGACTGAGCAGTTTGATGTGATGGTAATGCTCTAGAGCTGTATTTGGGAGGAGCTTAGCTTTACTCACAGCTGGGACACCAGCTCTCCAGCCTGAGGATTTTGTAATGTTCCTTAGTCCCCCCAGATAATTGCTTCGGTAGTACTCCATTTACATCATGAGTAATTCCTTCCAAATATCTTCACTTCAGCATTTATCCTACCAACTGTGCAATGTAAACTGCTAGGTGCTGTCAGTATCTAGAATATATAGCATGGAATGGTAAAATAAGTGAACAGAGAGTTTGAAAGGATTTGGAAGGATGTGCTTATGATCTAGTATAATCTCTGCATTTGCCTGGAGGCACCGAGGAAAACCATGAGAAACCTCAGGATAGACATGTCCTGGCTGACCATTGAACCGAGCATCTCTGAAATATAAGCCTTGCTGCTAGGCAGCCATACCATCACAGATGTGTACAGTGAAGGTAATAAAACTTCCCATTACTTTCCTACCTCGTTGGCACACTCATTGTTTTGGGGATTTAAATGGAAACCTACCCTCCATGCCAAGCTTTTCACTGCGTGGGATCATTCTCCACCTTAAAGTCAACATTATTTTCTCAAAATCAAACACAGACAAGTCATTATAATGGACCATTTATTCATTGCCATTCTTATTCTGAACTTATATTATATTTATAACCTGACTTTCCTGTATCAAAAACCATGATTAATTACTGAAATAGATATCTTACAGACTTTCATCAGCTGCTAGCTATGCATGTGCTTTTGTTTGAGATCAGTAGCATAAACATTTATACCCCAAAATTTTCAGTGACTCTGGTAATGGAGAAATTCGTAATTACATAAAGTGGAATTTATTTGTATTTATTATCAGTTCAAGAGATTCAAAGATGGATATAGAACATGCCATAAAATAATATAGAGCATAGAATACATACATAAATATTACACAACTAAAGAGTACAATGAATACAACAATAATAAAAATTATCAATTTAGATATTCATCCACAGTATAAAACGTATGAGTATTCAAGAAATGCCGTAATACAACCTTAAACTTTTTAAAATTATTGGATGTGTTTCTTGATCTTGATGGGCAATTTATTGAATATTTTTATACTCTCATAATAAACTGCTTTTTGATAAATAGTTAAATTATCTTGAGATAGATACAAATCTTGTCTTTGTATGAGAATCAATGTTTGATGGAAAAAGAACTTTGTTTTGCAATACAAATACTAACAATGAAAATATATATTGTGATACAAATGATAAAATATTTAACTCTTTAAATATGTTTCTACACGAAACTCTCTTGCCATATCCCAACATCGCTCTGATAGCCTTTTTTGGAGAAGAAGAATATGAGAACTATGAGATGAGTAGAGACATCAGTAACACTTATAAAATAATCTTTTAATATGTTGGGCAACAAATATGTTAGTTTTTCTTCCATGGAGGATAAAGGTCATAATTTAACATCTATACCAATCTGCACAATTTACAAGTATTTTAATTCCTCTCNGTGGAAGTCGTAGGATACCTTTAGCAGCACCTGTTGTGTTGATAGTTCGAATGGAGTGGTCTACTGCCTGCAGAATCTCTGGAACAGTTATGAAGCGAATGCCACAAAGTGGTTCCTTGATATTAGGAATCAAGTCAAAGTCACAAGTGCTAAAGTCTGGGAAGTATGGTGGAGGGTACAGCACTTCCCAGCCCCATCGATCGAACAAATCAGCCACAGCTTGCGCTGCATGTGGCCGAGCATTATCTGCAAAATGATGGGTGGGTTCTGCAGAAAATGTTTCCGCTTCTTTCTCAAAGCTGGTCACAGGTTGTGTTCCAAAAATGAACAGTAATACTGCGCATTTACAGTCTGCTGTCGGGGAACAGTATGCGTTAGGATAACACCATCACAGTCATACACGAGAACCACCATAACTTTCACATTGCTGGGATTTTGACGATCTTTTGGTTTTTTGTGGTGATCCGTAATGATGCCATTCATTCAATTGGCGTTTCATTTGTGACTTGTACGATTTGACCCATGTCTCATCCAGCGTAATGATACGGAGTAAGGAAGCCTCTCCTTCGTGCTCATAGTGCTCCAAGTGGTTACGAGCAGCATCATATCGTAGCCATTTCTGAATTTCCATCAAATCATGCGAAACCCATCGTGATGCAATTTTTCTCATGCCCAGGCATTCCTTAGAATGTGAAGCACAGTTGAATGTGCTAATCCTGTCTCTTGGGCCAGCTCACAATTGTATGGCATCAATCACTCTCCAGTAACACAGAAAGGGCATACATTTCTTCTTCACTGACACTAGGACAATGTGGACGACGCATGTCTGCCACATTTGCAATCCCTCCTTGAAGGCTTTTACCCACATTACCACTGTTCTGTAAGGCAATGCAGATTCCCCGCAAGCCTCTTGAAGATCTTGATGACACTGTCGTGCTGTACGGCCTCTGGCACATTCAATCTTTATCCAACTCCATTGTTCCTGTTTCAAAAACATCTAGACAATACTACATTAGACCACCAGCTAACACGAGGCTCTGTTCTTCTCGTCACTGCACATGCGCGTGATCAGGGAAGGGAGAGTCCATTTGCTCTGAGGTAAGGTAGATGTGTAACTAACGTGTGGTATAAGCGACATTATTTGGTTCCATTGCATTGCATCTCTACAGCAGTGTTGCCGCTTTAAAGTTCCAACCCTTGTATTTAATTTCTGATTATACTCTTTACTATCTACCAATCTCTGACAAAACAACATGCCTTGCCTCCCAAAAATAATGTCATGCATTCTGATGTGTGCAGCATAACTGCAAATCAGAGTTTGCCTCCCAGGTCAGATATCAGTGTTAGAGAGAGCTTGATCTCATGGTCTGTTTCTCTCTTTGCTGCAGAGAACAGACATTTTAACATTATGTGTTTTAATGTGTGTTGTACTTTCAATAGCAAGACACCGTGGCAATTTGAACATTGAATGGCATTCAACAGGTGCAAAGTATGCTGTACTGTTTATTCTGTAACAAAGTGAAAAGTGACAAAAACTTTGCAATTTTCAGTTCTCTCTGTCATATACCATATTAATGCTTGGCACTCAAACTGAGATTTGAAAATTATCCATCTAGAATGGCAAAAATAAGTCATAAGATGTAAGTCTTGACCTTAACAGTGAACATGGGGAGACATTCAACTGAATTATATTATTTTAAGATTAACTGCTGTGTTACATTCATATGAATGACACTGTGTTAAGAATAATTCCTATATCATCGGCAGCAGCATAATAATTATTATCATTGTGGTTGTTATTGTTATTCACAATAGCTTACATTCTAAACATTCTTACCACAGTTGTATGACAAGGTGTTTTATTTAGTGTATTCTGCAAAATATTTCTGTTTAAGACCAGGCAGTTTGTCACATTTGTAAATGTATGAAAATATAACACACATTATAGTTGTTCCAGAATTGGAATTTGTGGAAGATTTCTTATCTGTCCAAAATTATGTGAGAATTACTGCTTCTTATATTTTATGGATTACTGCTGCCTCAAAAATAAGCTCACATGCAGAGTCGAAAAAACAGTGGAGATGGCGAAGTTTTTAAAATGGAAACAACTTGTCGGTCTCTTGATAATTTTCATTTACGTTCATTAATCTTAGTTGGTATTCATAATTGCTACAACAGTAACTCTTGAAGAAGTCACATCATTAAATACATCATGCTTGAAATCCTTTGCCCAAATGCCCAAAGGATTAGAATTTGTCAGTAATAAATAATCACTCTTGACATGGTTAACCAATAATTAAAATATGACACACACTATCAAACCAGATAAATAACCAAATTAGATACAATATGTAAATTGAAATGCAAGCCAACCTTATGAGTTTATCAAGAGAATTTTATGAGTATTGCAGTAAATCAAGAGTCCTCCATATGACCGTGTCAATCACCGATCACATTAAGATACTAGAAGTAACCATTTGTTATCTATTGCTGAATAGAGGTTTTGCTATGCTTACTTCTGTCCATCTAACAGAAACTCATACAATGTATAGAATGGAAGATCTAGTAAAAATACTTTTAGTTCATGTTTACAGTCTTTACATCCATCTGATTTTCTTAATTTCGAAGGCAGTCTATTAAACAATTTAATACCAATATTGATAACACTCTTCTTAAATGTTGATGTGTTACAATTTGGCACATGAAAATCATCATACAGAGTGGTACATCCAACAGTTGCCAGAATTGTGTCCAGACAATGAACCAGATAATGGTGATAAGGTTGAGATTAGTCAATAATCTATATAGACCACCACATCAGTTGCACCATAATAAATTCATATCTGTGAACTATCAACCCATGTTCATGTGGACAGTCAGCTCTGTTTTGTATGTTCCTCTAAGAACAGATAGCGCTATAGAGCAATGCACGTTTCTTGTTGAGAGTGTCATGAAAAGAAAGAAATCATATGACAAATTTGTCTGTAAATTCTACAAATAACGTTTATAATTGGCAGTTTGTAAATGTTTATCATGATGTAATTGAACCTGAGTTTAAGTTATGGCAAATGATGCCTAG